GAAAAGTAACACTGGAGTTTATTTTTAGCTGAGTTGCTATAGATAATTATAACCATCCATTGTTTGTGCGTTGCTTAAAATATTGCCCCTGGTATATATTAGTTCATCTTTTAACACTGAATTTCATTTGTTTTCTTCACTCACTTATGACCTTGATATTACAGCTCATATAAGTCTATGTTCTCTGCAAATTTCAGTGTCTGCTTGACCCTTTAAAGGAATAAACATATAGTAAATAATGCATTAACCTGCTAACCACTAGAGATAATGAAAACTGAGGACTTTCTCATTTCTGTCTCTTTCCAATTAACCATAGCTTAATCAATGATAAAACTCTACCTCTTGTCTCTTGAACAGTCCCAGGTTTTACTATTGAGAACTTTGGAAAACAAAAAATAATAATTATATTTTTATATAATTTTAATATCATATAATGTTAATTATATATTTTAGCTCTCCTTAGCAAAAGAGATTCCTGTTGCACTTTCAGTGTACAAATTAGGCAGAAATTAGTAACTGATTTTTACTGTTTTCCTATATCATCCCCTTTTAAAAAAGCAATAATTTTTGACTGCAATTACCCATGATTTTGAGTTGTAGCTAACATAGGATAAGTAGATTTGCTACCCGGCAGCCTTTTTCATTTTCTGTCAACTACTGCATTAAAACTCATAGTTCAGCCAGATGACTCCAAGGCTCCAGCAGAATTCATGAATAACTGTATCTAGGCCTAATGAAGTACAGCTTTTCAATTTATCTGTTTGTTCCAGTATTTTCTTCCTTCTAATGTTCAGAAACTTTGTACGTGACCTATTCCATCCTGTGGAGAAACGTGACAAAATAAAACCTTTACCTGTTTTTTTTTGCCATGTTGTATTTTAAAATCCAGCCATACCACCATTCCTTTCTTGACTTTCCTTTGTCCTTTATTTACCCTTTCAAGAATTGTGTATGTCTTTGGTTATATGTTTTTTTCATGGTTTGCATTGGAGTCCTCCTAATTTACATCTTACATTTTAACCTGCCAGAAATGACAGAAAGATTGTATCCATCACTGACAGAAGCAAATAGTATATTTATGCTTATAACATATGGATCAGTATATTTATTCATTGATTTATAGTACTTAGGTATTCTTACCAAAAATTCAATAATTTTCTAAACTTACTTTGTACTGGGGTTGAAGGGGAATCTGACTGGGAAGCATCTTTCTTAATATGACTTTTCCAGGAGACAACAGTAGAATTTTTGTTTCAAATTCCACCCACTTTGTTAATTCAGCTCCACTTTGGGATTTTTTAATAGGAAGAAGAGTAAAAGTGTGGTAAATTCATCTTTAGTTGCATTAAGAAAGTCATATTATTCATATAGAATCATTATGCTAATATGAGGTACCTTAAGAATGTGTGTGCAAATCTGGTCCTTCCACATTTGTCCATAGATCATGTGGACTGACATTTTAAAGCTTTTTTGGAAGACGTCAAAAAACAAAAATGAAAAATGTCTGCCAGTAGCATAAAAAGTCATGTGATATTTGCTATTTCAATAGCAAATTGAATTTAAGGGAAGTCTGTTTGTAGGGAATAACACCTGTAAGTCAGTAATATTTTCCCTAATTTTTGGATAGACATAATTTCTGTTTCATCTCCTCTTCATCATTCTCTTTATATCCTCTGCACATATGTGTTTTCCACTGAGCTGTTCTCCATCTGTAGGAAGTGCTTGATGTACAGAAAAATAGGGATTAAAGAACATTCTAGTAAAGTGCAGAGGAAAGTGGAAATTCTGCTAATAATCATGTTAATTTTAGAAAATATCAAAATACTTAAAGATTATACCTTGTAGATCTCAAAAAATGTATAGAACATGAGAGTTTCTCTAGAATCAGGGAAAATTATATATATAATAGATTATACTGAATTGAATTAGTAAATGGCTTAAAATATATATTTTTAGACCAAGGCAAGCATTCTGTAATCACAGAAAAGTGCAAGAAAATGACAATATTTATATATATTATTTGTGCATAAATTAATTGCACTGCCTTTTGCAATTCATAACTTGTTTATGCAAATTACATTGTCAAGCTACATATTAGAATTTTTCTTCTGGAATGATTGTACACATACAGTAAGATCTTTTTATATAAGGATTATTTAAGGTCTTCTAAAATGTATGTTTATATTTTTATGTATGTAGAAATGTTTATGCATATTTATATTGCTTGTGATTTTTTTGATTCTTCTTCTTGCAAAGAACTTTAATTGAATTCAAAGCAGAAAATTCACTACAATGTACACAAGCTGGATCCAGTGCCATAGTATTGCTATTGAAATCAGTCATGTTGGATAAAAGTGTATTAACATGCAAATACACAACTGAATGTCTCCACATCCAGTTTAGGTTTCCCAGTGTCACTACAAAAGCCACCATAGAAATATGTAATATTTAAATTGCAGAAGTGTCGTGTCTATGTCATCCACAACGTTGTTTGATTTTTCCCTATAAATGTTCTTACAAGCTATTGTGGTCAACAAGTTAAAGGTTTTGGTGTACTGGTACTTCTGTTGATTTGTGTTGTTATACAGGATCAGGCTCTGTGGTAATACCTATATACAATGCAATGAGAAAGATTATAAAGGAATTGTCGTAGTAATGGAAATAAAAGAGCTGGTTCAGATTTAGGACTAATTACAATGACTGTAGTTGTTCTACAGCTGGTACTATTATCAGATCAGGAATTTATATACAAACTCTCAGAGATCTCATTTCATGTGCCTGTCCCGATTGCTGCACACTGTTCCATATGACTGCTTTGCATCAGTGGAGCGCGAAGCATCTGGGATACATCTTTAATACAATCAGTGTTTTGGCAGAGTGGCAACAGATAGCTTAGAAGTTCCTCACTCGGGTACTGGTAATGCTGTAGCTACATAAGAAACCCCTTGCTGCTTGGTATTAAGTTGATTATTTTATTTCAGTAAGTTAATTGCTTTTATCCCCTTTTGTCCTTTCCACCTTTCTACTGTGTCTCAGTCTGAAAAAATCTGTCATGAGCAAGAGGAAAAAAAATTAAAATTGAAAAGCTCAGATGTGCTCTGAGACAATGGGACTATTCCAGTGCTGTGTACGGTATGGCACATTGTTAAACTAATTCTTAAATATATTAAAAAACAAACACTAAAACCAGTGATCATGCAGAGTGTAATGAAACAATCTGGCTTAGCAATTATTTTTTTTGAAACATTGCATGTGTAATCATTTTCAAGCTACCACATTCAGTAGTTGTTAGTCATTGTCCTACACACTGATCCTTCAACTAACTGCTTTTCTGCATATCTCATGCTTTTTTTTTTTTTAAATTTCCTCTTCATTTTGTTTTTTAAGAAGGTAATAAAGAAGTGTGAGTCCTTTCAAAACCTGTCTCATGTTGATTGAAGCTGTCTATTTTCCAATTCAGAATACATTTTTAACACCTCCAAGATACCCGAAATAAGAGGTTTATATTAAATCTATATATTGATACCCAACTCTTGTGTTTTTTGTAAAGAAGAGATAAAGCTGTCACTAGCTGACTGAATGTGCTTAAGAAATGAGAATTTGAGGGAAGAGCCACTTCAAGCTTAACCCAGACCAGTGAAACTATGTGAGTAGAAAATAGATGTAATTTAATAAATTGGAAGAGACCATTATTGTTTCTCATATCAAGGTTATTTGTGTTCTGACTTTCAAAATGTAGCAAGTTGCCTCAAAGACCCAGTGTCTGCCTCTCAGGAATTTCCCCCTGTCTGTTCAAGGCTGAGATAGATTACAGAAATAAGATAATTTATCTTTATGTCAAAACAAGTGTATATATTTTACATATTACATTTTCCATTTTAAAAGTGGCTAAAGGTCAAAGTCATATAAAAAATCAAATCAATAGATAAAGTGCTATTGAATAAAACCTTTTTAATTTACTTTTAATTACAATTTTAGATCCAATTTTGCTGTACCTACAAAATATATCAAAGAATTTTATCATTAAGAACATCTAAGAATTTAGAAATCCTACTTAGGATTTCTGGGAAACATTTCTTTCTCCCACTGGAATTTATGTTTGTCAGAGTATTTCTTTCTTCTTTCACAGAACAGGGAACATTATACAATCTATCACATATTGAGAAACAAGAATGTTGATTTAAAACCAGTACTTACAGGTGATAAGACACTTTAACCTCCCTTCTCTGCTTTTTACTCCTGCTCTAGGTGGAGCTACAGATCTGCATGTGAAGTCTTTAGGAAGACATCACTTTTTGTTAACGTTTAATTGATATCTTGTTTTTTCCACTTCTGTTTTGATGAACCATTGTTTTTTTCTTAATGACTAAAAGGAAAAAAATTCTTTTGACTAGTTTGATGAAATCGAGGAAAAAAATGAAGACATTTTCATAGTTTAAATTCTGGAACACATACAGAATATTGAAGAGCTTATAGAGTAATTTTTGAAGAACAAATAGAAAAAATAGACAACTATGCTTAGATTTGAAAGGTTATCAAAATGCAGTACTTACTATATATGTGTGTAGTTTAAAAGCACATAACTTTTGAGTCAAATATTTTTAGACTTCCTGATCATTTTAGATCTTTACAACACACTGTGAAGGATCATTTTTCTTTAATTGCTTATCTAATTTCTGATGTTATCACTTTGCATATTATAAGAAACTTTATTAGATTCTATTTTTCTGTTTTAAGAGGATTTTTTTAATTTGGTGGGGTTCATTGGTTGGGGTTTTTTGTCCCCTAAGTGGAAAGTCAAGTCTCTGCTTTAAAACTCCTTACACTGATGGTTTAATTTCCTTCTTTTGTTACTGGAAAACATCAAAGACTCAGAAGGATATTTTTGCCTGAATGTCTGTAGGCAGTGATAGAACGTTCCCAAACACTACGTATTGAACCTGAGTTTTCTTTACTCACACAGTCATTAATTTAAATTAAATTTCAAAAATTTTCAGATAATCTAGCTGGGAGTCCTCCAGAAAGAGGTGTGTGTTGCATGTTCCAATGTAATGATGCTGTCTTCACTAAAGTTAAAGAGGACAAAAACCCCTTGCTTTTGGGATGGAATGGATTCCTTCCTGATTTCTTATTTTCTTTTTTTCATCTGGTTCTTCCTTCAATGAAATATTGCCTCTGGACTGCAAGAATTGTAAGAAAAAAAGTGAATATTTTAGAAAAAGAAAAATTTTCCAACAACCCCAAAAAGATTGCCAGAGGACAAAATTCTAAAGAAGACATATAAATGACATATGAAAGAAAATCTGCATGAATCTCTTGGTCTCACCAACTGTGTGTCTGAGTTCAAAGGGAAGAATTATGAAATTTGCTGATTTTAATTTCTGTTTATGAAATTGTATCATAGAAAGGAAATATCTTTTCCTTGCCTTTTCTTCCCCGTTTCCAAGTGGGAATATATTCAGAAACAGTAGAGAAAATATTAAAATTTGCTTCTGAAAAAATGGTGGAATAGTTTGATTACAGCAGAATTGGAAAACGAAAGCTGTTTCCAAAGGTTTGTTTAAAACATGCCCTTAGATATCTGCTTTTTCTTTTTGGTAAATATTTTACAGTCTTTTTTTGTCTGCGTGATGCTCTGTAGTACAGAAAAAAGAAGAGTCTACATCCTCGGAAGATAATTTATACTTAACAAACTCCACTTTTAAATTATGAAACTAATTTTTCCTGAAGCATATCTTCAGATTCAGAAAGCATTTTCTCTATACACTTACAGTCAGAATAGCATCGTATTTTTCAAAGCAGGAAATATATAAATATGTATTATTGCAAAAAATTTTAAATAATTCTAACCAATTCTAAGAAATATTTCTATACATCTTCTTTAACAATGTTTAAACAGACTTTAACAGAATTGCACTAATAAGGTGCAAAATGCTTTCCTAAAACCAAAAAAAAGTATCGTAAACTGCAACTTAAAGAATTAGTTTCTGTTCACCATGTAACTTAGAAAGTAAGTTGCTTTATAGGAGGAAAATGTTTTATAAATTGTTTTTTCATCAGTTGGCATGTTTTTATAATCCACTTATTTAACTGCTCAACACAAGTCAATACAAGGTAAAGAATGCAATAATTATCTTTTATTTGAAGTACTGCAAAAATATGTTTAACACTTACATGAAACTAACAGCTAAGAATTCTATTTCTGGATTTTCTATTGATTTCCTGCATGGTTTTGCATGAGTAATGCTTCTGTTCTGCAGAGTGCAGCCCTACTCCTTACATACTCCTTACCTGCTTACATTGACTATTTGTGAAATGAAAGCTCTAGTCTCTCCAACTTTTGAAAGCTGTAAAAGATATAAATTCTGTCACTTAGAGTATTTTATTTTATGTAATGTAAAAGTACTCAAAGATAACATGATGATTTTTAAGAAGTATCCATCAAGTACTGGATCTGGAAGTCTGAACAAATTGGCATGGATGAGATAGACAATACTAAATGTAGCAATAGTTATATTCAGAATTTCAACATATCTGTGTCTTTGTGTTCAAGAATTTTCAGGCACCTGAAATTTCCATATAAAGAAATAGTGCTTTCCTAAATGGCTTAATTCCACTGAAAATAATGAGTCAAATTATAATTAAAATTACTACCACACAAACTTTGATTCCATGCAAGGAAAATTTATGTTTTCAGTCAGTCACCAAGCTGATGTGACAACTCATACAATAAAAGGCAACTTATTTAAAATTGAAAAAAAAAAAAAAAAGAAGAGCCATTAGACATTGATATTATTGTATCACTCAGAAAAGAGTCAGGAAATAAACTTGGATAAAAATGATTTATCCTGAGGTATCAGCGATCTAATCTTAGAAAACAGTCAGTTTATTCATTTAGACTGTGGAAGTTTTCTCACAAGCCTCAGAAGAATGTGTGTGGATTTTAGCTGAGTTAATCTGAAGGAAATGAAATCTTTAATCTTTTAAAAGATTATAATGTTTCTTCTTGCTTTGTAGCCACTAATACCAGGAGACAGAGGAGGTAGTTACAACCTAGCTGACAGACATATGGTGTAGCAAAGCTCATTAGTTCTATTGTCATTAGCAGAAAGGTTTATAACTTAGGAGTTGATCTGTGTAGAGAGAAAAGCTGCAAGAAAATTACTGAATGTTGTGTTGCATTTTGTATGACTTGAAGCTTCTTTCACATATGATTGGGCATCTGGCTGATGGTCTCTAGGAGCCATTGGGCTATCCCAGCAGTTCAAAAATAAATGTCACTTCTTAGTCTGTAAGTTGAATCCATGTCATAGCAGAAGAGAGTATTTGCAGGAGTAGGACACAGTCCAGGTTTCTGTGCAGCTCTTTTCCTTAAGAAGAACTCCTGGTCTTTACTCCAGACTGGTTGAAAGATCACAGATATCTTCTCTTGCTCTGGTCAGCCCAGGAAGTGCAGAAAAATTAATTCATTTCCATTTAAGGAAAAGGGAAGCGATGGCATTGCAATGCAAAAAACTCCACTATGAAACTTCAGAAAGGCATCATAATTTAACTAGAATTAGCCACAATATACTGAATCTGCTGCTACTGCCTTATGCTCAGTTTTGCATAGTATACCCCTATCATGTTGCAATGGATAGTGCAGTTTGTCTCAACTACCTTGGAAGAAGGCACCAAATTATAATCATAACTATCTGCGAGTTGGGCCATATTGTCTGATAATTTTATAGCCAAGTTTTTGAGATCAGGACGTGAGTTTGAATATTTGTTGTTATTTAAGGATTGGACTGTTAGGAGGATGTAGTCATTCAGTTTTTCAGGCATACTAGAGGCATTGCCTATACAACTGAATTTCCCATATGGAAAGAACAAATTTCTATGTCTCACAAACACGCTGAAGTGTTCTGAGAATAAGTGTCCAGTGCATGTTTGGGGACTGGCCTCGATGCTGTATGGTTAACATGCTAATATTTCAAATTAAGAGTTAAAATTAGCAATGTCACAACAGTTTCACAGTGTGTCTGTCTCTGAATGATGTCAAAAAAAAGCGTGCCATAGTTTTGCTAAGTGCAAAAATGTGAGTGCCTGTGCTTGTGTCACTGTTGGTTGGTTTGGTACTTCCATTGTCTTTTACCTTCACAGAAAAATTAAAGGGATAATATGCACAAAGAAAGTCATCAATAGTAAATTGAATGTTATTGACTGAGTGAGCTACTAACTCACAGTCATCAGCAAAAAGAAGCTCGCTGATGAAGAAATAAGCCATATGTGTCTGCTGACTGCACAACTTGCAGCAGTAAGAAACTGAACAAACATAGCTCTGCCAGTGGCTTCCTTCTGCACAACAGAAAGGAGATGTAAAGGAGTATGGAAACTATGATATTAAAGAGATCTTGCCATTTCCGCCTATCTAACCATCATCTTATTACAGAGGCTTAGATAAGTCAGAAAGAAAATTTGCGGAGCATTCATGGGTCTGCAAAAGCTTCGAGAGTCCCGTTATAATTCACATTGTCAAAAGCTTTAACTAGGTCAGTGGTCAGCAAACAAAGACTGTAACTTGCACTGATACTATTTGAAGAGGATCATGTGTATAGTGTTACTTTCCTAATAAGTCCACGTGGAAGTTTTGGGAAGACAGATTACATGAAACAGAACTTGAGTTGCTCAGTTTAGGTATGCTAGGGTTTTCGTAGCATCAGAGAAGAGAAATGCCAGAATAATGTTCACAATTTGCATCATGATTTTTGTAATAGATATTGTTGGTATCTTTGAATTGCTGTGAAATTGCCTCCTGCTTTCATATAATGTGAGAAGACCACGTGGTGTTCATGCTTCTTTTTCAAATGTAATTTACTGCCATCTCTTTTCCAGGCCTGTATTGTACAAAGTCACTGAGTGTGCTGTTTCGATGTCAAGGCTTTGTAAAAAAAAAGAACATTTTTGACTGAAAAATTTGACATGTCATCTTTGCATTTTGAGCACAGGAGACTATAAATTTCAGTCTATGACAAATTTCTGTCGTTCTCAGAACTGTGACTAAGGATTTTTTATTCTACACTTCATACTGACAAAGTATTGTATTAAGTTTGTTGAGCTTGCATGCTATAACAGGTGAAAAGATGCGTGTGCTGTCACTCTCTTACCTATGCAAGAAGTATATAATACAGGTACAGAAACTGCATTGACTAGGCTGATATTGACAAATACAGGTTGAGTTTTGAGATCTTTTGTCTAGTGAATGGTATTGATTTCTCTAGATTCAATGCTACTCCAGAGTGCTTTCAGGAATGATGTTGTTTTTATGTTAATTTAAAGTGTGTTTATACCACTTTGTGACTACATTCTGTGTTAATGAACACTTACTTCTGTCATGCCCAATACAGTGTTGGGCCTCTGTTCTATATGTAATTCATGCCACTATCAAATCTTATTACCTGCAACTGCTGGTTTTCTGTTTGAGTTTTCAGCTGACAATCCAAAATTCATGGCAATGCTTGAAGACAGAGGTATAGTTTCTGAAAATTGACAAGAGCTCAGAATAAGTTAGAGGAATTGGAGGGGAAAATAGAAGCAAGCAGTGTACTGGTTTTTAAATTGAGGAAATAGTCTGGGGTTTTTTTATCACAATTACATAACTACCTGAACAAAACCAGAAAGAGGGTTCTTCTTATGAAATCTCCAAATACAAAATAGAATGTAATTTTAATTCAGGCTGAAACAAACAAACAAAATAATCAGAGTATATCTGGCACAACTTAAGTAAAAATATGTATCATACATATATGTTGAATGAAATAATAAAGAGTTCAAAACTAAGTGATTAATAATGAATTTTTTAAAGTTTTTTTAAAGCAAGTGTAAAGCTGTTGTAAAGCTTTTTTAACATCAGTTTGGCAAATACAAATGCATTTATGGTTTATATCAGAGTTGTCTGATCTGTGTAATTTTTCCCCAAAAGGGTGTGAAGCAATTTGTCCATCCCTATGCACCTTCAAAAGAAGGAAGTTGAAGCAGTCTTTCAATCCTGTTACTGTATTTCTGGTGAGTTACTGATGATGTCCCTCCCAGATGCAGTAAAGTAACACACTATGATAATAATATATAAATAAAATACAGTACAGAAACTTGCACTGTGCAAGTAATGGATAATCTGCCTATGCACATCATATTTAAATTATATCCTAACACCTTTTTGTACAGTATCGTTTCTATTGAAACAACAAATTAAAGGCATAGGTTAACTTGGTATTATCTCCAGAGTTCTCAGTCCTCTGTTAACCTACTCATATTTTTTATCATTTCCATTCCCCTCTCCTTGTTCTTTTAAATTCTTTCTGCAAACAGAACATCCTCACTGAGAATCAATCTCCCTTTCTTCTTCCCTCTCTCCTTTTACATTCCTTTTTTTTTCTCTCCTTCTCCTCCTTCTTCTTCTCAGTTTTCTTTTCCATTCTTTCTTTGTCATTTTTAATGGAATTAAGAAATTATGTAAACAAAATTTCAGAGGCACTGACCACTAAGTTTTTTTTTAGAGGAAACCAGAGGAAAAGCACCAGGCAAAGAAATAGCAAAACATTGTTTGGTGAAATTCAGAATATACAGTTGTTATAACAAGCTGTTCTTATTACCGGGAGAAATCAGGACCGTGCTTAGGTCTTGCATACCTATCAAGTGGGATTACACTTCTGCAACATACCTGAAATGAGTAACATGATATACAAATGGGACATAAAATGACATTCCTTGTTATGCTTTTCATATTAGTATGTGTTTAAATGACTGATATATGACCACGTAAGTCAGCAGTTCTCAAATTGTGTGCTGTGGTCCATAGGAAGCCTCTTTAGCACTTAGTACAGTTGTCCACCTGCCCTCCTCCAATCCTAACCTGAAGATAGAGGAAATACATTACATACTTTTCCAATAATACTTTACCAGTATCTTGCCAGTTTTTATATTTGGTGTGTTGTCCAACTCTTGGTTGAACTGATTTGGTGTATGTTTTTAGTAATGGGAAGAAAGTGAGGGAGGAACATTTTATTAAGAAAAACTTTTTTAAGGCAGTTTGTAAACTTTCTAAGCAGAGTCAGCATAGCAACCACAGGAGCTGGACTTCACTCTTTGTCTTTAGACTCTTTCACTTTCATAAAAATTGCAGCTTGTGGTTCCGCCAGGTGACACCAGCATGAGCACATGCCTTCTCTGTGTTTCATGCTACTGCCACTTAGAAAGAATTATTTTGGAGCTCTGTAGGGTTACTTTTTCTCTTTCTCTTTCAATGGAGGCAGTTTTGTCTGTTGTCTTTGCTTTTTTCCTCTGCCCTCTTGTTGGGAGAGTAGAGGCAGTGACAGTACCACAATGAAGTGCTTGGCTGTGCCAGCAGCAATTAGCTGCTCAAATAGTTGCTTCTCTTCCCTAGAAAAAAACCACTAAAGCAGATGAAAGCACCCTGTGGGCTGGACTTGATCCATGGACTACCTGTAGAACTTGCAGAACTCATTAGCATCTCCTCTATTGCTTATAGTCTTCTAGGTGTAAAGGTATATTTAATTTAATTTTAAATGTTATATTCCTTTAATGAGACAGAGTGTGTTTCATAAGGACATTACTTGCAATATATAAAGCAGTTTTGTCAGGATAAAATGATGTACGTCTTGGACATAAAGTGCTTGCTAGAGGGCTTAGTGGCATAAATATTTCTACTGCTAGAGAAAGCTGTATGAAAGTCCACCAGTAAAAATCAAAGCATATGCTAAGTAAGATCTTAAACGTTTAAGTCTGTATTCAAAAATAATAAAGTTTCATGATTTAATTTACGAACTGCAAAGAAAGCAAGGACATCACGTTTATGTAAAGATTCTACTTACCTATGATTTATTTTTTCTGAAGACTGAAAGGCCAAATCCCGAGAACTTCAGTGGAAGTTACATGCAGGATTCTGGAAGAATTATAGTGCGTGATAGTAGTTAACTACCTTCTGAGGTGCTACAAAAGATATTAGAGAGTTAAACGTTCAGCTTATAGCTGCAACTTTTAAACTTGAGCTTGGGAAATTTAAATTCAGTAAACATCCTTGCTACGTTCTTTTCAGAAAACAAGTCTCATGCATTTTTATGTGCTTCTGTATTATTTAATATGTTACACCTTACTTAGACTTAGTCAGAGTTCTGAAAGAAAATAAAAAATACAACTGGGATAGCTGTTAGATGTACTCTGCCAAATATTATTTTGCCCAGGTCATGTGTAGGGTGCTATCATTAGTGTTCTGTGCTAGAAATTTTATTGTTGTTTGAATTTTTTTTTTTTGGTTGTTTTGTGCCCTTTGTTATGACCTTGGGCCTCAATCAGCTCATTAAAAATTAAATTGCTAATTATAACCTAGCTTTGTTTTCCACTTTGATCAGAAAGCACAATAGGTTCCTTAAGTGGATTTACCCATAAAATATTCTGGTAATGAGAATAGAAAAGGCAAGTTTAATAACTTTAATATCAAAACAAAAGCTACAGAAATTCCACCCAGAGTCTAATAACAAAAATTTTATCTAATAAAAGATAAAGCTCCTCGAAATACCAAAATTCCGTTTTCTAGCTTATTAAATTAACATCTTTAACAATCTGAAGTAGGTATAATTTCCACTACTTCTTCCGTGGCTAATGCTCCTCTTCCATCAGCCTGAACATTACAGCATTATTTAATTTGTACTGCAATAACTTGAATTCAAAGGAGGAGATAAAACTGTTTAAAAATCATAGAGAAAATTTGCTGAATGCTGTTAATTGCCCATGTTTTAACTATTTTTGCAGTTTTATTGTGTTCACTCATTACTTGCTATGCAGGAATACTTAGAGATTTTAGCTCATAGGCATTTCCTCACACAAAGATTTGGGAATGGGTGGTGGTAGAAACATAACATAAAAATATATGTAACGTGAAAGCATGAATCCACTTAGTCTAATCTGCTGTTTCTCACAGGATCTAGGGGAAAGCATGACAGTAGGAAAAAATATATTGATACTTGTCCAGCATCTTAAGTGAGCTTTCTGTGACCTTTGGCGCCAGTGATCTTTCTCTTTCCTATACAGACAATAATGATCTTAAAACAGAACATTCCCATGTAAACATGAGTGTTTGATTTTTGTTTTTATTATTCTCTTTTCATTAGTCTTCTTTTGATTTCTGTTGTTATTCCCTTTTCATTAGTCTCCATTTCCAAAGGTTTCACTCATTCTGAAATGAGATCAAATCCCTGCAACTGAATGAGCAGTTGCAAACCATGGAGGATGAATAGTTCAGCTATGGTTCTGAGAGATGAAAACACAGGAAATGTTTGTAGTAAGAGGTGGGAAATAATTCATAATGGACAGAATTAATTAACAATTACTATAAAGACCACAAACCAGTCTGTCAAATGTAATTTTCACTTACTAGTTCTTAATGAGTAAGGATCCAAAACAAATAATTGAGGATGACTTTGGGAAGGAAAATGAAATATATTTGCTCATACTAGTAAGCTAGATTCTGAAAATTGAATTAAAATTAAACTTAGTACTACTTTTAAATCAATACAGAAAAATGAAACATTTATTTTAGGATTTCATCCTAACATTATAGCTATCAGGCAAGGGTTGGTGAGCTTAATATTTGACAGGGTTTTCAAGCCTGGACTACCACACCTTGAGAAAATAAAGAGGCTTCAAAGCTGGTCTACCTCAAGAGAGGTCTTGAAATGAGATAGAGACAGTAAAAAGTAACTTGTCAACTCCAGCTAAAATCCCTGAGCATGATCATAGAATCATAGAATCATAGAATCATAGAATCATAGAATCATAGAATCATAGAATCAGCTAGGTTGGAAGGGACCTCTGAGATCATCAGGTCCAACCCTTGATCCACTGCTGCCATGGTTACTAGACCATGGCACTAAGTGCCACATCCAGCCTCATCTTAAAAACCTCCAGGGACGGAGGATCCACCGCTTCCCTGGGCAGCCCATTCCAGTGCCTGATTACTCTCTCTGTAAAGAATTTCTTCCTAATATCCAACCTAAACCTCCCCTGGCAGAGCTAAAGACCATGCCCTCTTGTCCTACTGATAGCTGCCTGGGAGAAGAGACCGACCCCCACCTGGCTACAACCTCCTTTCGGGTAGTTGAAGAGAGTGATGAGGTCTCCCCTGAGCCTCCTCTTCTCCAGACTAAACAACCCCAGCTCCCTCAGCCTCTCCTCATAGGGCTTGTGCTTGAGTCCCTTCACCAGCCTTGTTGCTCTTCTCTGGACCTGCTCCAGCACCTCAATATCCTTCCTGAACTGAGGGGCCCAGAACTGGACACAGCACTCCAGGTGTGGCCTCACCAGCGCTGAGTACAGGGGAAGAATCACTTCCCCGGTCCTGTTGGCCACACCGTTCCTGATGCAGGCCAGGATGCCATTGGCCTTCTTGGCCACCTGGGCACACTGCTGGCTCATGTTCAGCTTCCTGTCAATCCAAACCCCCAGGTCCCTTTCTGCCTGGCTGCTCTCCAGCCACTCTGTGCCCAGCCTGTAGCGCTGCAGGGGGCTGTTGTGGCCAAAGTGCAGAACCCAGCACTTGGTCTTGTTGAACCTCATCTCGTTGGCATCAGCCCAACTCTCCAGTCTGTCCAGGTCCCTCTGCAGAGCCCTCCTGCCTTCCAGCTGATCACATGTGGCAAAGGGCTGGGAAGAGATATTTTCATGCTCTTATCACTCACTTGTTTTTCCGTCAAGAAGGGAGTAAGATCTTCCCTTTTTTTATCACATTTGTGTAGTCATCATTCTTTTTTTTTTTTGTAAGAATATAATAAGCACAGATTGAAGATGTAAATTAAAAGGCTGCATAGGCAATACTTTTCAAGAAGTTGACTACTCTATATTGTTTTCAGATTTTTGGGAAATGTTAAAGGTCAGAATTTGTGTACTGTCATTCAAATCTTTTGAGTTTAGAACTTTACAAGAAAAGTTCAAGAGAGAAGAAAAATATTTTGCACATCTATTTGTCCTTCTTGTAAATCTCCTCATAACTGTCTGGAAAATGATTGAAAAGTTATTATTTTCTTTAAAGTATATTGTATTATAAAGGGTCTTTTCATGATAGATTGTATAATAAAGAGTCTTTTTATAAACAACTTATAGCTTCAACAAATTATTTAAGTTGAAAAATAAAGCTGCCTTGTGGATGGAGTGCATTAAAAGTCATCAGCACGTTTCGAGAGCTCTGAAACTGTCTCTGGGTATTAATACTTGACTAAGTTATTCAGTTTTGGAATCTGCTATTCATATATATATATTTAAATGAAGACATTTTCCTTGGAAAATCACAGTGGCCTAAATTGATCTCTGATTTCTGTAAATAGCTTGAATATATTTCTTCACATGATGTGTACACTGTATGCAGAATAATTTTTATAATAAATATATTAGAAGCTTTCATGTGTACAAATATGAAGAATGGCAAGATTTTTTATATGTTCATATTATTTATAGTCACAGTCTGTTTTATGAGTTATTTCCTATATGGCAGTGATTATGAATGCGCTAGGATTTTTCAGTGTTTGGTTGAATGTTGTATTAAATAATTACTGTTCAGAACAATATGCTGATACTGGTCAATGATTTGAAATAAACTTTGATCCATCATTAAAAAACTGCACTTCATATATATTTTATCTAATGTAATGTTTTTGCCTGTGTTCTGTATTCACTGTGAGTAGATGACTCATAAGGAAAAATTATTCTGTTTTCAAATTCTCCAGCCACTGCCATTCAAAAGTTATTAGATTAAACTAGTTTTAAAATTAGGAAACAATATCAGTAACTTAAGGATAAGAAGAAACAGTAAGCAAAAACCCGTTAAAACCCAGATGGTCCAAAAATAAGATATGTACAGGAATATATAATAAAATTGATAGACATACACATTCATATATGTACACATCCAAAGCTATATATATTTACATATACATGTATGCTTGTACACACAAAGGAGAGATATACTTTAAATACATAAACAAATGAATAAAGGACATATATATTTTCAATATTAAAAATTATGGGATAATTCTAAAGAATCTGAAGTATTTTATCTGTGTATCTAAAAGAAACCTTTCCTTCCCTGTCATGGGAAATATCTAGGACCACCTTTAAGGTTTGGTCCATATATTCAATATCCTTTAAGTGTGCTACTTTGTTGACTACATTGGCTTTTCTTCTCATTGTTTAGGTTTTGTAAATAAAACTGAAGGATTTTTGATATATTACAAAGAATTAGCAGTGTCTGCCAGTATGTAGATTGATTGCTTCTCACACAGAATTTTAGCACTTGGGTTAACTTCCAGTAAATATATAACACTTCATAATGTCTTTATTTCAGCTGACACTAAGGTATATGCTCACATGTAAGCATGTGTTCAGTCCACCATAAATAAAACAGTGTAACTTATATTTAGTATCTGCAAAGCTTCTTTTGCTCAGGTATTTCAAACTTTCCCGTTATTTTTAGTTATGCAATGGTTAGACCTTTGCATTTAATTTGTCAGGAAAAAAATACAAATTACAACTTCAGAATTATTTAGTTCCTAGTTAGTGCCTAGTGTGATTAAATAGGATTCTGGTCTGACTTCAGAAAAGTCATATTACCTTCATTACACCATTTGTAAACCAATCAGCTGTGTCACCTCCCTCCCCATCCTTCATCTTACAGAAGACTGAAATTGGTTTATTTCTTTTCACCTAGGAAGAGGAAATAATCTAAAATTCTGTCCTGATAAAACAAAACTGTACTCTTTTGGTATGAGGTTTGTACTTCATTATTTTTGAGATAAGCCTTTGAAAATTCTTTCTGCAGGTAGACCACCTTCACTTGACAGAGATAACATGCACCCCTAGTGTATCAGATTGTTCTGAAAATATGAGTGGTTTGAAGTAACATGAGGGAAGGATTTGGTCTATTGAGTCAAATCAGTTCCTGATTACTTTTCTTCTTGTGGAGACTACCCTGTTGTGTTGAAATATGTCCCTGCAATGCCATTCTGATTGTCAACACACTGAAGAACCACTAGCTTGTTAAAGGGCAGATAGCTGAAGGACTGATAACTTTTTGCTCTTTCTCTTCCTCCATCTACCATCCTAATAATTGCCATTAAGCATCAAGACTCTGTATATGGAAGTGCCTTTATTATAGAAGCAACAATAGTTGCTTTCAGCTATTCTAACATCTGAAACTGGGGTTCACAGTTGTCTGACTTTACTATGATTGTTATCTAGATTGTTGTGCTTTTCTAAGTTGTTTTCTGTGCTCCTTTCTCCCCATTATGACACTTTTATTCTGAATCTCCAGTGAGGCTGTGTGACTTTCTATTGCTTACAGAAAACATAAACGTAACTATGGCTTTCAGCTTTCCCCATTATCCTCAAAATCATACAACATAATTTAATGTTTAGTGGTATTTTGCCATGTCCTTTATGTGTTATTTTTAAGCTTATCTATAATCACTGCCTACACTTTGTGGTAAAATATATCCAGAAAGATACTACACGTTTAAAAGACAACCGCCATCATTCAGTAGAATCAAAACACCCTTTGGTAGAAAATAATAGATTATATGTGATTTGTACGTGACATTGTACTGGATGGATTAGAATTTCCATGAGAGCCATGTAACATGACACAAAAAAAATGCTGATAGCTAAGGTACCAGAAAGCACAATTTTATTTTTTTTTTAATAAGAAAAATTTTGCCTTTGTTACTTTTCAAGGTCAAAAACTTTTCAAGTGACCTCTAAGGAAAAAATCGTTAGAAGAGATTTAGGTTCTTGGAAAAACTTTCTCTCATTTTAGGAAGAAAATGTCATTTGGAGTCAGAAGCAGAACATGGGTTCTTTTTCAGTGCAATTACTTAATCAGTGCTTCTGAAGATTAGCCTGAAATACCACATAACTGAACGAAGCTCATTTTTCCTTACAAAAACAGAGTTCCATTATTTTAAACATTAAAATAAAGTGTATCACTTTAGCTACAATGCTGTACTCTGCAGTATCTAATTTCAATCAGTAAGAATCTTAATATAATAAAAAAATATATTGTAAATTAGACCTGAAAATGGATCATTGTCAAAGAACATACTTTGTTCTTTGTGAAAGAACAAGAACTTTGTCAAAGTTCATGTTTCTAGTCACATTATTTAATCTTTGGTAATATTTTTGGTATGTCTCTCATTTACTCAGAAATTAAGATGTTTGTTGTCCCTGGTGCTATTTCGCCTAATGGTTCAGGTGATTTCCAATTCAATTTAAGTGAAGAAAAAGACTTTTCAAAGCATAACGTTGGTTTTGCAGTGCTTTTTTTCTATTTTCTTTTACTACAAAAAGATCTTGGTGTTGAAAGCTGCTATTTGTAAAATAGTAAACCTCACTGAGCTTTTTATGTTTTTGTAAGGTACCAAAAGTTATATTCTGTGTAATAAAATTAGGCAATTATTTTGTAAATGCATGTTTAACTATGAAAAATTACTAATGTTGTTCACAGTGTGATGTAAATACCTGCCAAGAGACCTCTGCCTTTCAATTTTTTATGGTCTTAAAGAGTAGTGATAACAAAATTTTGTTGAGTGATCTGCATTTGTTCCTAGTCAGAGACACAGAAGAAGAATCAATAGAAGATTTGAAATTTTACGTGCCATGGTAGAGGAATCTTGAGGCACCTCATTGTTTTATATCTCAACAAGTTTCCAAAAAGTTTGCAGGATAAGGCAGAAAAATCTTGTTTG